CCCCCCCCCCCCCCCCCCCATCTTCCCAGGCTCCCAGCTCAGGCAACTAATTGTTCTGATCCCCCTGGGAGACTCCTGCCAGGGACTCAGTTAAAGGCCCAGAAAAAATCAGGCCAGCTGAGTCAAATGATATGAAGTCACCAAAGAGAAAATGGCATTTTCACAAAAATAAGATGATGAGGGTGATGGTGATGGTGATGGTGATGGTGATGGTGATGATACACACTCACCCTAGCAGGCTTCTTCCAGCCTGTATCCTTGTCCTTTCACAGCCACATCAAGAAGCAACCCGTTCTTACAGCCATGGTGACGTTCAGTGCTTTGCCTTATTCCCAGGTGCTGCACATTGATCACCGGTGCCACATCCTTTCCAGAACCCTGGGTTGCAACAGGCTGTTGCAAGTCTTCCCTGTTTGCCCTTGGCAGCCAATCCCGTCTTGTGGATTCTTGCACACACACAAATTGGGGACGGGGCCTGGTGCAGGTGAGAACGCTCTTGTTGAGTCACTTAGCGCAACCTGTAATTCCAGCTCTGTCTGGTCCAACTTGAGCTGGCTTTTCTCACCGCTGATCTCTTGGGGCTCCAGTCTGCCTGGGAGAGCTAAGACAGCTGACTCCAGGGGAAGGAGGGGGGGGATAATGGAGCATACAAATGCTGCAGGACAATTCTGAGCTCCACCCACGATCCTCTGCATTTTGCTGCTTTTCCGTTACTCGCAGCCACGGGCTCGGGCCCGAGGCATGCAGAATCCCATTAGGCAAAACCCAAATTACCACTATTTACCAATTTTCCTCTCTTCCAAATGATAGATGGTGCCCCTGGCAGGAGCCTCGCCAGGGGATCAGGAGCAATTAGCTGCCTGGGCTGGGAGCCTGGGAAGATTGTCTGCAAATCGATGCTCAGGAGGGGGGAAAGAAAGTTTCGCCGCCTCCCTCCTCCTCAGCAGCACGGGGGATTCAAGGCTGAATTAGTCCACCAATGTAGCCACAGTCTTTCTGGACGTTTTGCTTGTGTTCCTCAAGGCCCTTCTCCACTTTGGCAGGAAATTCTTTCAGATCATCTTGTCTCTGTGTTACAACTCCCAGCACTCCTGGGAAGCATGGTTTGCAAACCACAGTGGCCGGGTTAGCACAACAGGCAAAGCCAGAACGAAACAGACCGCATAAAGGTTTAGGATGAACCCAGTTGTTGTGTCTTAGTGCGAGGTCAGTAGGGTTTTCCATAACCACCCTGCTCTGCAGCTGCATATCTTCAGGACAAGATGGGTCACCTTCAGCAGGTTGTCCCTGCAGCCTCTGTTTGCCAAAGGACTCCCATCTCCTTCAGAGGAAACTCTGTAGAGCAATGTTTCTCAACCTTGGCTGCTTGAAGATGTGTGGACTGGGGGCTGGCTGGGGAATTCTGGGAGTTGAAGTCCACACATCTTCAAGCGGCCAAGGTTGAGAAGCACTACTGTAGAGGGTTGTGAAGCATTTGGATCTGGAAACAGAGAGTGCACTGCTCTTTTGAGATTGATATGCTTTGGGTAAGGTCAGAACAGCTGTTTTGAATTCAAAATGGAGCCTTGCACAGTTGAAACAATTTGCACAGCATTAAACTACTCAGCCCAATTTGAAAGCCGCTGGTCTCTGGTACGTTCCTGCTTTGAGGTACTCAACTTCTCTTGGAAATATCCATGATGACATTCATCACTGCACAAGTGAGCGCCCTCCATAAGAATTTTGTGGCCAGCTGATTTTGAGCGTGGAAAGAGAGGGGAAGGGGAAAGGAAAGTGTCCAAACTGGGTGGGAGAATCCCTTAAAAATGCAGCTGCAGTCAATTCATACTTGCAGGTACTGGAAAGAGTAGGAAAAGGAGGGGGAAATGTCTTCATTCCACTGAATTTTCTTTCGGTGGAGATCTCTGGGACAGGAAAAGCTGCTTTGTCCTGACATGTTAAGCCATGCTTTTGTTTGTTCCAAACTAAGATACCACAGTGCAGTGCGTCAGCAGAACAAGGCCTAAAGTCATACAAGGGTGTGTTTTTTTTTTTTTTTTTTAAAGTATTATGTACTGAGTAGCAACCTTGATTTTCATTTGGGAAAATGGATTCAGTATTTTCAGCAAAGAACAGGCAACATTCACACTCCTCTTCTGTGCCCACAGTAGTGGGAAGCCTCTGCAATTTTGCACATAAGAAGCCAGCATCTTAGGGGGCAGAAAAATAGGGGTAGGAGTGGAGGGTGAATATTTTCTTTCCAGTGGTCTGTGACCAGGAAGCCCTGATTTTGCCATGATGGCTGAGAGTCAGTCATGTTCTTTCAACCCTTATTAGGACTACGTTACATTGCAGGAATGTTAAAAGTCAACATGAGCGACAGCATGCCGGAACAAACCAGTAAGTTGCCATAATTTTCGGATGTGGGCAGAAAGATAATAGCAGAAATTTAAAAAAAAAAAAAAAAAAACCTCAGTGAACTGGGGCAGAGATGTGGATTCCTGAGGAAGTTTAGATAGATTGCAGACAGGCAGATGATATGTTCTAGATAGATAGATAGATAGATAGATAGATAGATAGATAGATAGATAGATAGATAGATAGATAGATAGATA